GCGTGCAGAGGTCCAGCCCACCAATGTTGCCATGGTGCTCGGTCTCGGGCTCCTGCTTGTCGCTCGCCTCCAAGCTGTTGGCTCCACGACTCGGGGGCTGCTGACCACCGCGCGTCGAGGGGCAATCCTTCCGCTGATGCCCCCAGCCCCAGCACATCGAGCAGTGCCCCTGGAAGCCTGCATGCTGTTGTTGTTGTTGTTGTTGTTGTTGTTGTTGTTGTTGTTGTTGTTGTTGTTGTTGTTGTTGTTGTTGTTGTTGTCGCTGACTCTGCTGTCCATCTCGTCTCGGCCCGGGTGGGCCCGGCGTCTTGTCGTACTTGCCCTTGTCCTTGTTCTTGCCTTTGCCTTTGCCGCCTTTGCCGTCCTTGCCTTTGCCCTTCGGGTGCTGAGACGACTGACTCGCTCCTCCACCTGCCAGCACCCCTTCTTCATGTGGCCCTTCTTCCCGCAGTTGTTGCACGTGATGTCGGGATTGCCTTTGCCTCCTCGATCCTTGCCGCCGCCCTTGAGCCCGCTGATGTTTATCGGACTCGGCCCGTCGTTGACTTTCGACTCCGGGTAGCTCTGGATCTCCTCTCTCACGCTGGCGTACGTCTTCAGCTTGTTCGCGTTGAGAACCAGGTGGTCCTTTAGCACGCCCTTCGTCATGCTGACTAGCACCTCGGTCTTGATGTCCTCCTGCATGGCGATGCCCGCTCGCCTCTCGTAGACTCGCAGCCGCTCCTCCCACTTGGCGATGTGGCTGTTCAGCTCCTTCACGTCCACCGCTCCTGGCTGGATCAGCGTGCCCAGGATGTTCCGCCTGCGACCAGCGCCCTGCGGGTCGAACTTGTGAGACATCACCCTCCATGCCTCGAAACCGTCGTTGTCCTTGGTCGCCTGCACCAGATCCAGCGCCTCGCCTTCGCAGAGCTGCGCCAGCACCGCGTACAGCTGCCTGCCCACGTTCTTCACGTCGGTCCCCTCGTCCATGCAGTCCGCGATCTCTCCGCGATCTTCCTCGGTCAGCGCCTCCTCCTGATCCTGGCAGTACTCCAGCGCCTCCTTGATACCACTCATGATCCCCTCCAGGAAGTTGCCCAGCTTGAACGACCAGCTCGACCACGCCTTCATGTCCGAGTTGAACACCGTTGGCTTTCCTATGCCCTTGACGTCGACGAACTGCACCTTCTGCTTCCTGGCCTCGCGATCCGCGATGACCGTTGTCTGCAGCTTCGTCATTGCCTCCAACTCCTGCACTCGGTGCGTCTGCAGCGTCGCCACCACCTCCCTCTGTCGCGTGAGCTCGTTCGTCAAGCTCTGAACCTGCTCGACTAGCTGCCTCAGCTGCTCCTCCGCCATCACATCTGCTTCCTGATGTCCTCACGCAGCTCCTTCGTGGCAACCTGTTGCAAGAACTGGCCGAGGTTCCCCCAGATACGCTGCAGCCTTCGAATCCTGCGCACACTGCGCGCAAGACAGCGCCAGCGCCCACAAGCAGAACCCAGAACCAGCCAATCTTCTTGGTCACCTCCGTCGTGACCACTATCGGGGCGCCGCGCGCCCGAGGGAGTGGGGCTATATGGATCGGTAGCGGGTGGAAAGGAAACCAGCTCCGCTACCATGACGGGATGATTTTGAACCAGCACGGCTGCAGACAGCAACACGCCATCACAACCGTGTATCAAGTATGTCTTGCTACATTGTTTGTCTGTCTGTCTGTCTGTCTGTATGCATGTATATGTGTATGTATGTATGTAATGTAATGTAATGTAATGTAATGTAATGTAATGTAATGTAATGTAATGTAATGTAATGTAATGTAATGTAATGTAATGTAATGTAATGTAATGTAATGTAATGTAATGTAATGTAATGTAATGTAATGTAATGTAATGTAATGTAATGTAATGTAATGTAATGTATGTATGTATGTATGTATGTGTCTGTGCGCAGCCCCCCAACACCCATTCGTATTGTATCGATCTTTGAGTTCTTCATTCGTCCTCATACTCGTCATCTGCATTCTATTCATCCGTGCCTGCCCTTCAGTCGTTCTTATTCGTCATCTCTCCTGTGTTTTTTCGCGCCGGAATCTAAATGGAATCAGCTGCACTTGGGATCTGCTCAATTCTAATTTGATTCGAATTCGATTGCAGTGGGAATACAAGTGGACACAGCTGGATCTGGGATGTGCCTTCTTTCAATTGTATGGTAATTCGGTTTTCATTCGAATCCAATTGTAATCAGCTGGATCTGGGATCTGCTCAATTCCAATGGGACTTTCATCATATATTCCAATACACAGCCTGGGCACACTTTTTCAATTTGCTATGGTGATAAATCTTATCCTTATATGTATACGTACACATATATATATACATATATATAAATATATATGTATATATGTGTATATACATGTATGCATATATATATATATATATATATATATGAAAGAGCGTGTTCTACCGCTGCTGGCGGAAAACCAGGGGGGTCACTACCGGTTCGAACCCCTCCCCCCCCCCCCTCCGGAAAACCGGGGGGGGTCACTACTGGTTGAACCCCTCCCCCCCCCCCCCCCCAGCTCATCATGAAAGGGGGGTCACCCGTTCGAACCCCCCCCCCCCAAAACCCCCCCCCCCTCCCCCTCGAAAACCGAGTGGGGGTGCGGACAGTGGTGGGGACGGTGTTGGTGGGGACAGTGGTGAGGGGATAGCGGGACAGTGGTGGGGACAGTGGGACAGTGGGACAGTGGTGGGGACGGTAGTGGTGGGGACAGTGGTGGGGACAATGATGGGAACAGGGGGGGACAGTGGACAGTGGTGGTGACGGTGGTGGTGGGGACAGTGGTGTGGGGACAATGGGAATGAGGTGGAAACAGTGGGACAGTGGAGGGTACAATGGTGGTGGGGACAGTGGTGAAGGCGGTGGCGAGGACGGCGGTGGGACAATGGGACAGAGGTACAGTGGGGACAGTGGTGGGGACAGTGGGGACAGTGGTGGGAACAGTGGGACAGCTCAGTGGGACAGCGGAGGAGTCAGTGGGACAGTGGGGACAGTGGGGATAGTCGGGCAGTGGTTGGGGCCGTGGAGACAGTGGGGAGAGTGGAACCGTGGTGGGAACAGTTCTGGGGACAGCGGGGACAGTGCGACAGTGGTGGGGCCACTGGTGGGGACAGTAGGGGCGGTGGTGGAACCAGTGGGGACAGTGGTGGTGAGGACAGTGGTGCTGGGAACACCAGTGGGGGATGTGATGCGGACGGTGGTGGGGACCGGGAGTCGTTTGCTGGCGGTGAGTAGGGGGGGGGGGGGGTAGTGACCCCCCGTTTTCCGGATTCGAACCGGAGTGACCCCCTCGGTTTCCGGAGGGGGGGGGGGGGAGGGGTTCGAACCGGTAGTGACCCCCCCCCCCGGTTTTCGAGGGAGGGGGGGGGGGGGGGGGGGGAGGGGATAGGGGAGGGGGGGGTTTTGCCGGGGGAGGGGGGGGGGGAGGGGTTCCAGCAGGGGGGGTGGATTTTCGGAGGGGGACCCCCCCGGGCTCCGGAGGAAAAGGTTGGCAATTTTCTACAGTAAAGCGGCGGTGGAACATATATATATATATATATATATATATATTCCTAACATGACATGATGACTGCGTCATTCGGCGGAATTGTTTTCCACCCCTTATATGCTTATGATTTTGTTACCCCAAACCGGATTGGAAACTGCTCCGCTCCAAACCCTATGAGTTCTCGAGCGTGATGCGCCCACGCGCAGAGTAGCTGGATAACTTTTATTCCGACCTATTCCGCGCTGATGCGCAATAGGCGAAAGCAGAAAATCACAGCCCGTCCCGTTGTTCATGGTTTCATCCGGTCAGGGCCCGATGTCACATCGATGGTGATGGCGACGAAGATGATGATCATGGCGTCGCTTATGATGATGGCGGCCATGGCGATGCTCGCGATGGCGATGATCATGCGACCGCTGCCAGTGGGGCCGTCGGAGGAGCCCCCTGTGGGGCCGTCGGAGGAGCCCCCTATGGGGCCGTGAAGCGCGCGTGGGGGCGCGTGCCGAAATGACGAGGTCACGGCGGGTCGCCGCGGACATTGGGGCCTTTGGTGAAACTCTCCACGGGGCCGCCGAGCGCGCGAGGGGCGTGCCGACATGGCGAGGCGTTCCTCCCAAGTGCCCCGATCTGAATCCAGTAGAGATGATGTAGAGATGTTCTGACGCTGGCTTCGCAAGAAGCTTCGGTCGATGGACCTGGGGGACTTGCGCACGAAGTGCCACAGCTGGCCCGCGCGGCTGCCAGGGCGCGGTGCTGCTCTCGTCCTGGCTGGGGGCGATCCCAGAGCGCCTAGCCGGTGGCAGAGGAGCTGGCGCAGGTCGCCGGCATGCAGCGGCAGGTCGCGAGGCGGCCGGGTTTCGCGAGCGCGGCGCCCATCTTGCAGTTGCGCACTGGAGCGCTCCGGGTTCTACAGGAGGCTCTCCATCGCGGCGGGCGTGCCCGGGGAGGGGAGCGGCGCGCACGACCGCTGGTGCGCTGGCTTCCACGGTCTCGGTGGCTGTCTGGCACTCGTCCGAGCGCTCGATTGTGCGTCCGGCCAGTTTGAAGTCCGTGACTCCGGTACGTTGGCAGACTAGCATTCTACTCCATCATGTCCGGTTTTCCTCTCTCTCTCATTTTTTTGTTATCTCTCTCTCTCTCTCGCTCTCTCTCTCTCTCTCTTTCCCTTCTCCCTCGTCAGTCGCTGCCCCCGTGCCCTTCTGCCACTCTCCCTTCCTTCTCCGCCCCCCCCCATTCGCGCCCTCCTCCTCGGCCCTCCCTTTTTCCCCTCTCCGCGCTGCCCCGCTCGCCCCCCCGCCCCCGCCAGTGGGGCGAGAGAGGCGGGCGGAGCATGCAGCGCTGCAGCCTGGATGGCCCCCCCGCTCCGCCGTTCCCCCTAAGAGTCGCGGGCGGCGCCGCCCGCTCTGCCGTTCGAGCGCGGCGCAGATCGCCTGTCCGCCCGCGCCCCCCGCCTCGGCTGCCGCGCCAGGAGGAGTGGAAGTTGGACACCCTCTGCGACCTCTACGAGACCCTGACTATCACACAGGCCCCCGCCCGTTCCGCGCGCGACGTCGGCCGAGCAGGGGCACGAGCCGGGATGGAGGGACGGGGGGGAAGGGGGGGGGGACGCAAATCCCGCCGCCGTGCCTGAGTCGTGGGCCAAAGGCGTCCTACACGCCTATTGGGGTCTTTGGGCTCTTGGGGGCTGCTGGGGGACCCCTGGAGAGATGTTGTGGCTTCCTGGGAGCTTCTTTGGGCCATCTTGGGACATTCGGGGAAGCTCCGGGGTACCCGCTGTTGGTTTCGGGGCACTTTTTTGGGAGAAGGGCTCGACATGTTAGTTCGAGTCCCCCCTCTTGGGCTCCTCTTTTTGGTCTCTTTGGGGCCTCTCGGGCCAGGCGCGCCCGAGAGCGCCCGAGGATTCAGTGGATGCATCTGGGCTCTGGGGCCCTTGAAGTGCATTTACAATCCTCCGAGCAGAGAACTCCAAAGTACCAGGGGACATCGAATTCAATGCCTTCGGGAGCCTCGAGACGGGGGTCAATGCAAACGGGGGTCAGCCAGGGCGCCAGATCTTGCAGGATCCTGCGAAGACCCTCCTCTGGCTGACCCGCGTTAGCGAGCCGCTCGTGGCCGCGAGGCGGCCGCGCATATTGGCTGACCCGGGTTTGCGAAGATCAGCGTTGCAGTTTTTTGTTTCTGCATTGCAGTTTTTGGTTTCCTGCTGACCCGGGTCTGGATTGACCCGGGTCAGAAGATCCCCGATGGCTCGCGGCACGGTAGCGGACACCAAGCGGTGCCATGCTACGCGCTGCTGTTCTGTACAATGGTTTGCACTGGATTGGACACTGCGTTGCATATCATCGCCTTTCGCTGCACATGCATGCCTTCAACCGCGTTCATTTGTGCTTCCACACCTGGGCTTTTCCGGAGAAGCCGTCGCATCTAGTGTGTACGGGGCCCGCTGGCATGGGTGGGTTTCGTCTGGGGTCGCCAGGGTCGACTTGAGCACCTCGCCTCCTGTGACGCCAGTGGGGGGCCAGGCCCTCGGAGTGATCCAGGGTGCCCGGGCGTTGTGCTGCGCCATGCTGTGCCGCTCGCTGTTCTGCCGTGCTGTGCTTCTGCTTCGTCTCGCTATGCTGTGCGGTGTTGGGCCAAGTGGCGCTGCGCAGTGGCATGCCGTGCTGTGCACGCTGCACGGCGTGCCATGCCATTCGGAGCTTTTGCGCTGCGCTGTACTTTGTGACGCGATGCTGAACAATGCTGCATTGCCATGGCAGGCTAAGCGAGTCGATGTCGCCGTCGTGTTCGTAGCACTTCTGTCTTGCACTACGCTGTGTATCGTCTGACTTCATCGCATCTGTATGGCTTTGGCCAATGGTGCACGTAATTGGGGTCACGCCAGGCTGATCTTTTCCACTGCGGAGGCCATGCCGTTTTGGGAGACCTCCCCCGCCACTGTGAGGGCCCGCGTGACGTGCCGTTCAACGACCCAGCCATTGCCCAGCCTCCCACCCACGCCATGACGAGGGCACCCAGCCACTGCAACGCTCCGACGGCCCATCTTCGGCCCAGGCTGTAGGAGAGGCTTGCTTTCCACTGCAAGCAGCTGTACCCCGCCGTCCCTGGCAAGGGTGATTATCCTGGGCCCTGCGATGGTGCATATTACCTTCTGGACTCTTTCAGGATTTGCCACTGCGATAGTTTTTTTGTCCTTGCTTCTGCTCTCGGGTGGCCTCCTCGCCTTCATGGCCGGACGTGGCCGGCGGGATGGTGTCCAGGGCCCGAACGGGCTCCGCCGAGCATGAAGGTCATGAGCTCAGCCAGGAGCGCCGTAGCCGTTTTGGCTCAAGCTGCCCCGACGCCCATATTACAGTATTCGAAGAACAAACATCGGCATGCACATCAACTGTTGTTGCTTCGCGCGGATTTCTTAGATCTGCGTGCGGCGCCCCCCCTCTGGCGGCCCCTCCAGCGCCGCCCCTGGGGTTCTCCGCGCGCAGGGGAGGGGCTCCAGCGGAGATCCAAGAAATCTGCGCGAGCCGTCAAAAGTTTATGGTTTGCCGTGGTGTGCTCTTCTCCGTACATTCCACACTACACATATGTAATGCAGGGCGTTCGGCGAGCACTGCTCGCGCTGAGCCAGGGAGTCTGGCTGTGTGCAGAATGCCTGGCCCCCGAGGAGGCCGTCTCGCTCGTGCAGCTGTTCCAGGTGGTTGAGCAGGCTGGGGAGCCCGGAGAGGCCTCGGCGGCGGCGTTGGAGGAGCGGGCGGCAGAGGAGCAGGCGGTGGAGGGCTTTCTCGAGGTGGTGGAGCAGGCGGTGGGGGCGGCGCCCTTTGGTGGGGCCGGCGACGCCGGCCAGGTTCAGAACCGGGCGGGAGAGGAGCGGGCGGCGCAGGAGCAGGAGGTTCGGAGGTGGATAGACCTCCTACCCTGACAAGTCGATCAGCGAATGGGCCGTTTTCGGTTCGCGAGTGGGCGTCGCGGCCGTCATTTTTGCGGGTCCAGGTCCGTCGGTTTCGGTCCTAGGCCGTTTTCACTAAAAGGAGGTTTTCTAAAGGGAGGTTTGTCCATCGCTGAGAGGTGGTGGTGCAGGACGTGGGAGCCGCGTCGCAGGAGACTATAGTGGAGGAGTTGCCAGAATTCTGCACGACGGCCCAGAAGCAGGGCTACGTGAATGTGCACGGCAGCGAGGTGTCCGACAGCATCCTCCTGGACCTGAGCGAAGCCATGGGCGGCGGCGACGCCACCATGACGTTCCTGGTCACCGTCGTGTCCGAGAAGGGCACGTACTCCGAGGAGGCAGGCGGCAAGCAGCTGATGCCGCTGAGCACGTCCCTGGAGGACAGCCCACACCAGATGCTCGAGATGCGGCTGAGCCCCACCAAGACCGAGGTCGACGTCTACTCTCCGCAGCTGCGCATCCGGACCAGCGACGAGGATTCGGAGGAGGCGCTGCGCATGGGCATGGGAGACGGCAGGGTCGGCAGCATCCCGCGGGTGCTGTGCGGAGAGGGGAAGTCCCCCGGCAGCGTGTCCATGCGTAAGATGGAAGTGCAGGATACGTCCTCGGAGAAGCGCGTCCTGATCGCCTTGGACAGTCTTCTCAGCAAGGGCTTCTTTGCGGTCCGCGACATGGACTCCGTGGGGGGGTACAGGCGGGTGTCCACCCGCGTCTCGAGCGTGAAAGCCTTCCCTCGGAACCTGAACGTCGTCGTCGAGATGATGATGGCGACGGCGGGCAGCAACCGCCAGTTCCCGATGACTGTTGCATTCTCGATGCTGAGGCTGCCCGATACCCCCATGGCACCGCGAGCGGGCGACAACCGCCTCGGATATTTTGCCACCGCCTACTCCGACCTGGGCTTCCACCCGAAGGAGATACAGGCTTCCGCCCCGCCGAGCGCGACCGTGGATGCCCGCCGCACGATGATATGGCGGTACAACCCCGACCGAGACGAGGACAGGCAGATCAAGATTTATATCGACCCCACCGTGCCGAAAAGGTGGCGTGGGTACGTGAAGGAGGGCATCGAGGCTTGGAACGATGGGTTTGCCATGTTCGGCGCCAACGGCACCGTCAAGGCCATCGCGCCAGACGACAAGGAGTGGCCGCTGGATTACGACCAGGGCGACGCGCGCTATACCGTGGTCACCTGGGTCTTCGACACCAACCGTGTGGTCAGCAGGGGCCACGCGCGGGTGGACCCGAGGAGCGGGGAGATCATGAAGAGCGAGATCAGCATGTCCGTTGGCTGGCTGCACGCGTGGCTCTCCGACATGGACCGCCTGGCGCCCCAGCTCGTCCAGCGCTCCAGCGCCGGCGTCGTCGAGGAGGAGCGCCCGCAGATCAGCGCCGAGGGGGCCGCGTCCGCGGCGGAGGAGCTCGCGGGCAGGGCGCCCCACGCCAGGCGGCTGGCCGACGCGAGGGCGGCGCTGTTCGGCACAGCGCAAGGCACGGACAGCGGCAGCCTGCTGCACCTCGCGACTGGCAGCGACAGCAGGTTGGGCCTCTTCCACCTGGGGCAGCCGATGACTGTGCGCCAGCAGGAGGGGGTGCTGGGCGCGGGCATCCGGCAGGTCGTGATGCACGAGACGGGGCACATCCTGGGCCTGCGCCACAATTTCAAGGGCAGCCTCGGGGTGAGCTACGAGTGCACGCAGGATAAGGCCTGCAGCAGCAGGTACGGCCTGTCCTCCAGCGTGATGGACTATCTTCCCATAAATCTTCCAGACAACGACGACCCAGACAGCGTGGATTTCTTCTCCCCTGTCATCGGCGAGTACGACAAGCTTGCCATCGCTTATGGCTACATGCCGGACCACGTGAAGACTCTCGCCGAGCGCACTGGGCAAATTAGCCTCAGCCTGAACGGGCTCCTGAACAAGGCCGAGTCTTTCGAGGTGTGCCTCGACGCTGACTCCAGCAAGGGGGAGGATCCAGAATGCCGGCCCTACGACTTCACCTCGGACCCGATCCGGTACTTCGAGGCCACTCTGAACAAGCACCGTAGGACGCACCAGCAGCTCCTGGATACGGCGGTGGCGCCAGGGAAGCCCTACTTCCACTACGGCAACGCGGTGTCCACGTTGATGAGCTTGACGCGCGACATGGGCCTCAAGGCGGCCCGCTACATCGGCGGCAGCAACCACTCCTACGTTCACCGCTCGGATGTCGGGTTTCACGCGGGCGGCGCCCTGCACTTCCAGAGCGCGCACACGCAGCGGCGCGCTCTGAACGTGACGATGCAGGTGCTGCAGCTCTCGAGCGCAGGGCTCGTGCCACCCGCGAGCAGCCGCAGGTTTCTGGTGGGCGGGGGGGACGACAACCTCAAGAGCTTCGACGTGGAGCACGCCGCCCGCAGCATTCAGAAGGAGCTCATGAGGACGCTGCTCTCGTCCGAGCGGCTCCAGCGCCTCTACGATCACTCGGGCGACTGTGAGGGGTCGGGGTGCCCGCTGACCGTGGAGGAGCTGCTGACCGAGCTGGTGGACAAGTTCGGCGTCCCGCAGAGCGCGGCCTCGCCAGACTGGGACCTGGAGCTCCAGCTGGTCACGAGCCTCGGGGACGCCGCCAAGGACGCGGGGCTCACTGCAGATGTGCAGTACGTGGTTTCGGAGAAGCTGAGCTTCATCGGATCCACTGTCCAGGCGCTTCTGGAGCGTGGCGACAGCCTGCG